TGTGTCTGCTGTTGATATTTCCACTGAGCAGCTCCCAGAGCACGCTGGAGTCTGAGCAGAAAATCAGCGCCCATAAGGCCCCAGGAGCAGCTCCTCCTCCTCCTCCACCCCCACACATAAGGGACCTACTCCAAAAGGAGGAAACCAATAATTTAAACGCAATGCGGACTTGTAAGTGTGTAAACACTGGTAAAGAGAGCTTCACATTCACTGCCATCCAGCAGTGAGACGAGATAATTAGTTAAAAATTGTACCATGTAAATCCATGTAAATTCTTCCTTTAAAAAAAAAACTTGAACAATTTTTTGTAATTAACTAAGTACTACTCAAAGTTAGATATATACTTTTCAATAGGAGTGTATGGCTCTAATATCATCATAATATCACCTTTGGTTAGGGTTAATAGGAAAGCATCAATATGAGCCATGTCAGGCTGGGCAGAGCACGTGTGCAGGATTACACCGTAGTAGGGATCACTACCTCAGTTCAAGACAGACAGGAAGAAAGGGGAGCAACAGCAATGACCAGCCGAAGGTTGTTTGTCAGCTTCAGTCTGCACTTTAATGCATTAACACTGCAGTGTTCTGTGTGAGTACATGGAAAGTTCAATGTTTTCAGTAAGAGCTTACAGACTGCAGATTGATCCATGCTACGATTAACTGAAGTGCTGTCAAGTGCATTTCAAGTTCACTCCACTGATGTTTTGGAATATAAAAATAATACATTTTCTATTACAATGTGATGCTGCTTATAGTTTAATTAAAAAGTACAGGCTGACTAGTTTGGACAACACAGAAGAGTTTACATTAACTTCAAGTAATTGGAGAGATGGAAGAAAGTTAAGTTATACCCACTGAAAATATTTGAGTGGCTCAGTTTGGACAGCTAAATGTAAAGTGTTTATAATCAAATGGCACATGTATTGTTTGGAAAATTAGACTTCTGGTAACTTTTTAGGATTTTTATATTGCAGTTGCTTGAATTTGCAATATAAATTGCAATATATTGCTTGAATGCTGAATTCCTGTCCACCTCAATTTTAAAAGGATTTTTACGTGAAAACTCTGATGAGCACCGTCTTGTGTTTGTGCCTCTGCAGATGCCCTTGTAGACAAAGATAACGCCAAAGTGGGTTTGTTCATCGCAGCAGCCATGGGAACATTTGCTCTGATGGCTGCAGTCTACTGCATCTACAATAAGTTCTACACCAAACAGCAGTACATGCACACCCAGCTCAACAATGACCCAGGTAGCTTTGATTGTTTCTGAGGTAGAACCATGTTCAATTTGAGTTGGAAACAGAAATGATCAGAACCTGTGTGGCAGCATGTGAAACTATTCCTGGGAGACTGTCAACAGCAACACTTATAAGACACTTATAAATTATCATCAGCGGGAAAATAACTCTCTCATATTTTCTGTCTGATTTGTTGATAGCAAAGCACTTCCTGTTTGCTGCTGTTTAGAGGCAAAGTGATGCTTTAGTGTGTGGAAATGCAAATCTGTAATTTATATATTATATAAACAAGACTGATTATGTTTGATTTTCTGTTGTTTTGGAGTCTTGTCCTTACATTATCTTAAGGCTAAAATCTAAAAAAGCTTTTCTATATAAAGAAAACTTTTAAATGTGCATCTTATTTTCTGTCTGCAGACACAGACTCCCTGGACCCTCCCCCCGTGTTCTTTCACGCCTCCGTCAGCTCCGGTGTAATGGAACTGCAGAAATCCGGTTACGGCTCCCTCTCGGACACTCCGTCCATAATTTCTGTCCCACCCAGTTTGTCCCCTCCTCCGTCTGCCATGCCCCTGCCTGCCCTCTTCCTCTCCTCTCGCTCTCTTAGAACTATATCAGCAAAGGATCTGGAGAAGAGATACATATGACATGCTTGTGTAGGTTGCTGCTTTTGAATGATGGATAAGGGAGTAGTTACAGTTATTTGAATGTTTGTGTTGTTTTTTTGTACACATAGACTCATTTTTGATTTTACTCAAAAGCAGTAATATAAAGAGGAAACTAAGGCACAGCTTAGCGATATAATATACAGCACCTTCACATCCAGTTCTGTTAATGTTAATCATGACTTCCTTTACCCTCACTGCCCATTATTCTCATTCACAGTCATATGCATGAACTGTAGTCATTTTTGCCGTGTTTTTGTTTATTACACATAATAAACTAGATATTTC